CCCCCCCTCTCTCTCTCTCTCTGTCAGAGGAGTGGCCGTACGGTACAGAGGTAAACCGATAAGACGAAGGATACTTTTGTCGCCTGTGTTGGTGACCGGTGCGCTAAGGAAGGTGGACACTTTGTGGCGGTATACATGACTGGTGAAACAAGTCCCTGACTAAGCACCTTCTCATGTGCGTCAAGTAGTCGCATTAGTCCCTTCAGATTTTAATGCCATTTGCAGAACGCTCTTAAGGGAACACACCTTTAGTGTCCTTCTAGTCCGTAGTTTTACACTGTTGATAATAAACGTGTGCAACTGGCGTGCTGGCGTGCATACGAAAGTGCTCATAATTATGTTGCTCCACTTGAATGTTCGACTGGATATTTGAATATTGAAAAGTATCACACAAGAGAGGAAGCCACTATACAGTAAAAACATGTTCCAGAACACAATTACACGTCAAAAAGTACACGAAAAGTACAAGGAATACAGGAGTCACCCCCATTAAAAATTCTTTGGTTAAAAAGTGTTCAAATTTACTGATGAACACTTTCAAGAATTCAAGTTTCTGGTTCAACTCCTCAAAAAGGGCACGAAGACATCAAACACTATCATTTGGGTCCACAGTTTCGTGATTAGTGTGGTGTGACTTTGCCAAAACGCTATCTTTCTTCCGTTTTGAGAAGTCAAACAATACCACATGTCACGTATGCGTCTCCCTAGCAATTTGCGTTCATAGTGGTCATTGCGGGGTTCAAGAGGATGTCCACGAGACCGAGGTCACCGGTGCCGCCGGCTGCACACGGGAAGGCGAGCCGCAACGCTGCTCCTGTAATAACGACTCTAACTCGTACGAAACCGTATGAGGAATTCATGCCGGGCCAACCAATAATAATGAGTTATTCAAGACGCACGTATGATTGGAATTTGATTTTAAAATTACCGCGCGCCGGGCTTGGCCGTGCCACGCAACGGGCATAAAGCTGTCGTACTGCCCCCACCGTAACCCTGTACCCATACTCTGCACGCCACTTCTATTACTCTGTGCCCCCTCCGCACTCGCACACCCACCCTACTCACCTCCAACTGCGCCCGAAAAAAAAATATAAATGAAACAGACCCGCAGTATTTCATCTTTTCCTCTCTTTCTCATTATACGCCGAGCTAATAAGAGAGAACCGAGCTGAAATTGTTTTCGATTTCCATTGCCGCCGCCTATTTTGTTTTCGCGACCATGGAACAGCAGTAGAGGCGGAAAAGTGGGTGTCTTTTTGACTTTCCTGTGAATTATGAATGAGAGTCCCGATTTGTATATTTTCAAGACGTAATTCGGCTTGTATTTGGACTGTACGGATAAAAAGTTCCAATCCAGAATCGATGATTGAAAGCAGATACGATACACATATTAAATAAAAGGGCTGTGTTCTAATTCTTATATTTAGAAATGTTTGACACCTTGATGTACATCTATGTTTTGTAAAATGTTTTAAGGTATTGTCTGCTAAAAACAGGAAAAGGGAAAATGAACAGCAACTTTGCACAGATGATCAACAAAAGCAACGCTAACACAGCCAGTGACATTGTCGATGTCGTGCACAGTGGGACATCATTAATGAGAGCAACTTATTGACGCACGGTCACGGCTCACGACAGCCATCGTGAAAATTACGTAGATATCGCGTGTGCGGCGCCAAACAAGACCGTGGCCGGTCGGTGACCGCGCACCTCGCCGAACTAAAAAATCGAACCAAAGCCCGAGTGGACGAGGTACCGGGTACCATAGTACCCACAGCCAAAGTAGACGTCGCGTGGAGAAAATAGGGCACTGATAAAAGCAATTTATCCTAGTTACAAAAAAAGTGTTGAATCAATGAAAATTTACTCGATATGAAGCCAATTAAACATTTGATCAGGAATTTTAATCAAAGTGTGAGCAGGCGAACAAAAATATTAAAAAGTCGATGACTCGACTAAATCGTGTAATCAGGGCGATCAAAATTTGTTTCACGGGAGTAAACTTTTCTTGGCTCCCTCTTTTGTTCCGCGGATCAAATGGTCTTCTGAGTGTGGGCGCAGGGGAGATGTAAGGTAACGGCAGTATATTGGGTTTTCAAAAAGGCCAAAAGACAGCAAAAATGCGGCAGCAAAAGATGCAAAAATTTTAGTATGGAAAAAGGAACGAAATAATATTGGCGAGGAGATGGGCTCCTAAATTTACAGTGTTCCTACTGCGATGGGACTCTTTGCACTACGTACTTCATTAAGGTCCAAAAAGCACACTCACAAAAGCATGATCACAAAACTTATACATCCAAGGCTTGGAGGTGGCCTCAGGTCCTTTTGCTCACTCACCTCTGCCTTCAGGTTGAGGGGGAGGGGCAGGTCTGCTTCGCGCTTGGCACTGGCATGCGCCAATAACATGGCGACCGGCGGCGTCGGGCGTCGCTACGCCACCATTTCCAGCGCCTGTGACAAAACAAAAGGAGGAAGAAAATAATAAACTGCACTTTTAATGCTTCGGGCATTATTGACACGCCACACACACAGACACACACACACTCGCGGACGTATTTAATGGCTTCCCCGGGCTGGGCGGCGCGCGGTCAGTCCCGCCCGCCGAGGGGGTGTCCAGCTGTATTCGCAGCGTTATAGCGTTATACGCCCTCATCCGATCATTTATTGATGAACCGCACTCCACGTGCATACCGTTTCGCGGTCGGCCGCCTGCCCGCCGTTGCCTCCCCCCCCCCCCCTCCCCAGCGCGCTCCGCGTTGACACTAGCGCCTCGTGAATCTGCTGCACTCCAGGCCGCACAGGGGAGGGGTGGTGGTGGGGTGGCACTGAAGTGCAGCGCAGCCCAGCTGCGGGGCTCAATGAGGTAATGAAATGGAATGGCTTGGGTGTGTGTAGTGTTCACGCGCGTTTGGCTCCGGTGGGAGGAAGAGAGAGGGAGGGGGGGGGCACGAACCACGCAACGGGACACCAACAACTCGGGAAAGAGAGGAGGAGGAGGGGGGGGCAGAGGGGCAAGAAGGCTAATAGTACATATGGGACATGAGGTCAACAAAAAAAGGATAACAATCTTAAGCACTCGAACTACCTGCTTTTGCTAGTGCGAGAAGAATCAAAGACACATTTTTCATACATGATCTGTACAGAACCGAAACGTTCCTCAAACGTCGATGAACGAGTTAGGCCATGGCGGCGTTCGCTCTGCCCTTCGCCCCCCCCCTCTCCCGCAGTGGCGTGGTGCGGCACTGCCGCCGGGGCAAAGGGGAGAGGAGGTGGGTGCAGGGTGCATCCGCCACCCCCCTCTCTCTCTCTCTCTCTCTCTCTCTCTCTCTCTCTCTCTCTCTCTCTCTCTCTCCCTCCTCTCTCTCTCTTTGTTCTGCACCGCGCTCTCCCTTCGCTCTGCTCCCTCAGTGTCAGTGCCCCGCCGGGGGCACCGCGCGCTGCCCCGCCGCTGAGGCACGACCTGTGGCCACCATTAACGTGGCCCCACAAATCACACGCCGCCCAATCAAAACGCGCGCTCCTGTCATTGCGTCGGCACTCACACACACGCACACACACGCTCATATACACACCTACACACACACACACACACACACACACACAACATAGCCCTCTAAGCTGCCCTCATGCTACCAGCATCACCATAAAATAATTAGACCCAAATGTGTCGAGGATGACATTTCGGAAACGAAAAGATGCACAAATATGCCATTCAGTGCAGCACACTGGCAAGATAAGTGCGCGACTTCTAAAAATTTGTATGATGCAACTGGCACCTGCTTACTTATGGTTGAACTCGACAGTCGTGCACTTGCTTGTGTGCAACTCCTCTGTAGAACACCTCCTCGCTTACTAGATGGAATGTGTAGAACAGAAGAGTTGCACACTCACGAGTAGTGCACCACTAACGAGTCGAAAACTTGCAAGTACCCAGCTTGCTTTTGCCACACTTACAAAGTGTTAAGCAGTTCCACACATTTTAGTTTATCAGTTCGACAGAGAACATAGAGCGAGACACAACATGTGGACACACGCGCAGACATACATGGGCAAGCACGTGGCCACAACGCGCGCCGGGCGTCGAGGAAAATCGAAAAGTCGTGTTTTCATTCGAGCAGGCGCATAAATAATGTGTCAACCTGTGTCAACTGCTGCAGGAGGGAAAAAGAGAGGTAAAAGAGGGACGAGGACAGAGAGAGGGGAGAGAGAGAGCGGAAGGGGGGGGG